AAAACAAATTGCTGGGGAAACTCCACAGGTCTGGCAGCATCTTTGGGAAGAAAGGGAAAGTTAAGAACTAATAGTCAATTGACTCAAAATGTTTTGCATCTGCATTTATATTGGCAGCTAGCTTTTTCTCAATCTACTTCATCTTTCTTTACAATTCGCTGTCATTTTTTGCTTGCTCTTAAAGTCAATGGTCAAAATATTGTTTCACTCCAAAGATGCTGCCAGACCAAAATTAAACTTCACCAGAAATGAAAAGAAAAGTCCTGTTCACCTGTAACACTTAAGTGCAGAATCAGGGAAAGGGAGAGTGGAGTTAAGAACTAACAGAAAAGTTTGTGATACGATGCTTAAACTTACAAAAACAAAGGAGCGCGTTAGATGGATAGCAATGGGACAGTGCAGAAACAAAGCGAAATATTTTGAGCTGGTGTAAAATAGCTGCATTTATGTTCACCATTATTAGCCAGGGTATTGTGTATAGGAGCTGGGAGGTCATGTTGCAGCTGTACAGGACATTGGTTATGCCACTTTTGGAATACTGCATGCAATTCTGTTGCCCCTGCTATAGGAAGGATGTTGTTAAACTTGAAATGGTTCAGAAAAGATCGACAAAGATGTTGCCAGGGTTGGAGCGTTTGAGCTATAGGGAGAGAGTGAATAGGCTGGGGCTATTTTCCCTGGAGCGTCGGAGGCTGAGGGGTGGCCTTGTAGAAGTTTATAAAATCATGAGGGGCATGGATAGGGTAAATAGCCAAGGCCTTTTCCCCATGGTGGGGGAGTCCAAAATGAGAGGGCATAGGTTTAAGGTGAGAGGGGAAAGATTTAAAAGGGACATGAGGGGCAACTTCTTCACACAGAGGGTGGTACGTGTGTGGAATAAGCTGCCAGAGGAGGTGGTGGAGACTGCTACAGTACAACATTTAAAAAGCATCTGGATGGGTACATGAATAGGAAGGGTTTAGAGGAATATGGGCTAAATGCTGGCAAAGGATTAACTTAGGATATCTGATCGACATGGATGAATTATACCGAACAGTCTATTTTTGTGCTGTACAACTCTATGGCTCTAATACCAGGATGCACGGTCTGAAAAAATAAGTAGTGACTATAATCTGAAATTATACTCTTTATTCAGGTTATGCATACAGTCTGTTGAAATTATGTTGGGTCCAATTAGATCATTGAATAGCACATACTGTATCTGCTCAATAGCTTTTGCCTCAGAAATTAAGACCATGTCCTGAATAGAAAGTACATTATATACTACAAAAGTGCATTGGCAGGACACAACTTTGAATGTTGAAGGAAATTAGCCTTTATCCATTAGATAAATGACATTTAATTTTCTCTTCACTGCCAATTCAAAACCTAAGATGTGTAAATTGTATGGTATTAAACTCAGATACCAAGTGAAGACAGTGGTTTGAAAGCACCCGGGGCTGAATTTTACCAGAAATTGGCTAATCATCAATTTTGGCATGTTTCATGGAGGGGTTTCCTCTGTGAGCTCTCACGTGATTTCTCACTCCATCAGCCGAAATTTGTTTCTTTAGTTACACACAATGCCCCAATTTTGTCCCACTTATCCGATCCCCTTTCTCTCGTCACCAGCACCGTTCTTAAAGTCTAGCCATGCACCATGCTGCCAACCAGGAGGAACAAACGGGAAAGTTTTTTCATTGTGCACGTAATAGGGAGCAAACCAGAAAAAAACACTTCTCAGTGCATATAGTTAATACTTCATTGCAAATACACTACACATCTGTAAACTTGCATTTTAAAAGAATGAGCTACACAATTTATACATCCTTAGCATCATTCCAGCTTAACACTGTCCAAGGGAGTGTTACTCTATGCCCAATGCCCAGTGCAGCCAAACTTCTTTTTATCATTCAATGTAGAAGTATCACATACGAGAAACCGTTGAAAATATTCACCTTTATTCAGCAACAGTCAAAGCAAGGGATAAAGCAGACAGAAGCAGAATTTGCATCTGGGAACAAACAGGGGCCACAGCAACAATCTTTCAGTGATTAATTCACCCAAATCTCATCTACTGGAACTGGGTATCATTAAAAGTCTTGTCTGGCATGTCACACCTGAAGCTATTGTGCTCTGTTGTGCAGAAGGTGACATTCTTCTCATTCAATGTCTCATGGTCCTCCTTGGAAAAATGCTGCTGCAGTTCCAGATTTTCAGAGTCTATCACATCCCCTCTTTGCCTGATCAACTTGTGCAGAGCACAACACGCTGAGATTATGGAGGGCACTCTACCTGTAGAGTACTGCAAGGCCTCTTATTGATCCAAGCATCGGAACCACATCTTCAGCAGGCCCTTCTTCTGCTTCACACTGATCCAGATCTAACAATGGGTACATCGTATGTACCTTTGGCCTCAGTCAGGGGATTACATAAATCGGCACCAGCTGTAGATGCAAAGGGAAGGTCTTCTGAACCATTAATTACTCTTGCAAGGCATCTGGCTCTTGAAATGAAGCAGGAATAGGAGGGTTCAAAGATTATAGTCATCATGGCAGTCCCTAAGTTAAATCTATGATGTGGTACGGATGATCATAGATCACCTGTATGTTGTTGGAATGGAATATTTTCCAGTTGATAACGCAGCTGAGTTTATGATGAAATGCCCTCAATGTGACATGTGCACAATCCACAGTGCCCTGACCATAGGCAAAGCAAACAAAGTTGGCAAGGCCTCGTGCCTGGGCTGTAGGGCTGACCCTCATCAGGGGAAAAGGAATGAGGTCTGGCATAAATTACATTGGTAATGAGTCTTAATCCAGAATTGTTGAGACGTAGGAGGCAGCTAATCGTACCCACACCAGCTGTATTACCTAATGCCAATTTCCCGCCACTGCCTATAATCCCTACACACTAGTTCTACCCAATAATCATCCATTTCTCACACGAATGCCTCAATTAAACCTGCTTTAGCCATATTTCCAGGCAGTGCATTCCATATACTAACTACTTGTTGTTTGCACATCACTTTAAATTAAATTTTTTCCATTTGCAAACAGAACAGCTTCTCCCTATCTATTCTATCCAGGCACTGATGATTCTGAAAACCTCTATCAAAACCCCTGTCAGCCTTCTTTGCTCCAAGAACACCACTCCCAACTTCAGGCTATCCTTGTTATAATCCAACAGGTCTACTTGAAATCACTAGCTTTTGGGGCGCTGCTCCTTCAACCTGATAAAGGAGCAGCGCTCCGAAAGCTTGTGGTTTCAAATAAATCTGTTGGACTATAACCTGGTGTCATGTGACTTCTGACCTTATCCACCCCAGTCCAACACCAGCACCTCCACATCAATCTTTCCTTGTAATGGAGGGGCCTCATCACTGGAACCATTCCAGTAAATGGATCTTGTAAATACATTTGTGGGTTGAGGATAGTGAGGTGGATCGCTGGAAACAGCCCATTACATAAACGTTCAAAGCAACTGTCACCCTGGCAACCACTGGGACTGAATGAGTACTCAACTCCTACAGGTCACAAGGACCCACCCCAGCCACAGGCATAATTCTGTGATGGAGTCTTGGGCCATCCTCTATCTGCAGTAGCTTTCTCATTGGCCTATTAGTGACATAGATCCCATAACTCTAACAGTCGCAAGGGGCTGAAAGCCCTGGCCTAATACTGGATACTGCCCTTGACTTTCTGTATTGGGGGCCATCTCGCCTTATGCTGGAGCCCATTTGGTAGATGCATGCAGAGTGTTTTGGACATATACGCAACTGGCACATGATGCAGGTGAGAGATTGAGATAGCATAATGCCACATAGCAACATATCCACCCCACTGGCTGATCACTGCTAACAACCAATCTAGTTTGGAGAGTCTAGTAAAAGGCAAGACAGAAGCAGAGAGAGTCTTTAAGGTTGAGGGGGCAAAGTGCAAAAAGGCAAAGGAGTGCAAGGCGCAACAGGGATGCTGTGAGCATCAAAGTAGGTGCATCAAGTGGGTGCAAAGTGAGTGGAGAGCTAAAAGAGAGCAAGCGAGGAGCCTCAGGAATGCACTGTGGTTGAAACCATGGGCTAAGTGCCTGTGTGGCATAACAACAACATTCCAATGCCAAGTACCAGTGTACACTAAAGTTCAGCACTGAAGTGCACAACAGAATTACAAATGGCTCAGCGAGGGGAGGTTGGTAAGGGCCAACAGCAATTTCTGTGGATGCTTTATCAATGCTTGCAGTTGCTTTGAAATGGTGGTTTGAATGCTTCGTCAGCTCAAGACACCATCTTAATTCTTGGAGGTACATTCAGAACATGAGAAACTATGCATTTTATAACAAACAAGAACCTGTATAGATTACAGCACGAATGTCAGTTTTACTGCTCAGTCAGGAATTTGCGACTTCACCTACAGGCATGGGAGGGTAGATCAGCCCTTTCCAAGGGATCACTAAAATTCCTCTGACACTGACAAGAGATAGAAAGATACAAAATAGGGCTGAATAACCACCTCCTTTGAGCCTACTCTGCCATTCACTATGATTATCTAATTCAATAGGCTCTTCCTGCTTTTCCCCACTTATCTTTTGATCCCTTTATCCCCAACTGGTATATCCAACTCCGCCTTGCAATTGATCAGGATCAAGATAGTTTGATGTGGCTAATACACATTCAAGGATGAGCCATTTTCAAACACATGATCCTTCCCTACCTATTTAATCTCCAAAAAGTAAACAAGAGTTGATAAACAGAACAAGCTGGTGTTTCATCTTGCATTTGGGAGCAAGCTGAGTGCTCCTGTAGAATCAAACTTGCAGTAAACCTTGCTGGTTACTAGTTTCTAAAAAAAGAGCAAGCTCATCATCACCGTCAATTATAATCAATGCCGATATAGTAAGTGGTGTTTAAAACCTATATTACAAGTAAAAGCATTTGTTTGTGCCACTGAACTGGTGACATTTCTTGGGAAGAAAAATTTGTATAGCAGTATTGCAATTGACATTGTAAATGAACACAAGGTCGCTGACAAGAAATGGTAGGCTTTATTTTACTACACTTCTCAGCAGGAGGCAGATGTCTAGTAACACTGGGGTACACAAGATTTGAACTACTGGCAGCTGAAAATACAGAAACATTCCAAAAAGGATGTTGCAATACATCAGTAACAGCGAATAACTTTCAGATAACATGCCCCTTGCTCCAATAATCCCCTAGAGCAATAAATTTAATATTTAATTCTGTCAACATAAATTGCGAGTTTTGCCTTCTTTACACGATCCTAAAAACAGATTTTGCTTGATTTATAATAAAAAATTAACTTAAATTTGTGATCAATATATCTTACATAATAGGCAAATATTAAACGTTCTGATGATTTTGATGTGTTCAGTCACTTCTGAGCAAGATTAAAAATTGTATGAATATATGTATCAAGCCAGCCTTGAAATAAAATACAGGGACGGCTAAATAGCATTACATTAAATATATATAACTTGCTTTCAATATTGAACTACATTCCATCAAGAATTTTTTTTTTACAAAAATGCCCAACATTTCTCAATTGCAAGCAATTTTCTTACAGAATAGAAGCAGAGAAGCTATAGTTGCTTTCACGATAAGCTTTTAGGCTGGCAGCTACATTCATTGTTGTTTCAACAACTGACTATGATCCAGCTCAAATAAACATTTCCATAGTCGGTCATTCATTGAATATTTACAACCCCTCCGTACTAATAATTAATTGAAGCTAAACATCCGATACATTAACTGCATTCAAAAAAAGTCAAGACAATTGCATGTAAACATAACTTTAAACTTTGTGAATATCTGTTGAAATGCTCCATTGCTGCATTTATGTAACTGCAAGAAAAGCAGAATGCCAGCCACTTTATTGCATGATGCATTAAAATCTGACAACTGAATCTGTCCACCAAACCATTGGGAATGAGTGAAAGGCATCTGCTGCAAGCTAAGCTTGAATGACAAGCCAGTGGTTCTTCGTTAATGTCCAGGCAAATCTTTTAAAAGTCAGAACTGACTTGCACTACTTGGATCACACTGTAGTAGTCGAACTATGGAGGGATCACTCTTGGCACCTTTTATAAATTCTTCAAGAGATAGTTTACCTGAAAACACATTTTTAAAAATAAAGAATTATGACCATCCCACAAAACAATACCTATAGACTTCATCAACCAAAGTCCCCACCAGCACCGAGGTGAAAATTAAACATTGCTACAGTATGCAACACAACTATAAGCTTAAGTTGATTTGCAGTGACAGTGCTGTTTAAGCTCCTTGACTTCGTTATTTAATTAATAGTTTAATTTATTTAACTTGTCACACCTAGAGCTCATTTATCTGCAAATCTCAGAACTGTAGGACTTTGTCATCCATCCTCACCATGGTTTTTACTCATCAGCATTCACACAAGGTCATGAGAGGTCCTGTGCTAAATGAAATTTTGAAAAGGGAACATGTTCTGCCTGGATGTAATTCCAATGCCATTCATTGTTCAACAGTCACTGCCTATGCAAGCTCACTAGTTACAGCTTCCTACCTATAGAGGCACTGATGTGCCAATTTAGTTTTCTTTTCAAAATAAAGACCATTAAAAGTAGAAGTAGATAATTTGTTCCATCAGGGTCTGCTCCATCATTCAGCAAGATCATGGCTGACCTGATAACCCTCAACTCTACTTTCCTGTCTTTTCCCCACAACTCTTGACACCCTTATTAAAATCAGTCTACCTTAGCCTTGAACATACTAAACAATCAACAGCCTCTACATTAAAGAATTCTACAGATTCACTACCTGTGACAGAAGCATCACCTTTCCTTTCCATTCCATTCCGTTATAACGTGGATGTAGAAACTTATTAACCAAGAACAAGGGTGGGAATACGATTTTAAAATTAGCAGCGAATTACATCTGATCATACCAATGTCTTCTCTATAAAAACTGAACGAACTGTGGAGGCTGTAAATCAGGAACAAAAACAGAAGTTGCTGGAAAAGCTCAGCAGGTCTGGCAGCGTGTGCAAAGAAAAAAGTCAGAGTTAACATTTTGGGTCCAGTGAGGAACCAAGGTTCTGAGGACGGGTCACTGGACCCAAAATGTTAACTCTAATTTTTTTCTTCACAAAAGCAGTCAGACCTGCTGAGCTTTTCCAGCAACTTCCGTTTTTGTTCCCAATGTCTTCTCTGCCTGCTTCACCTGAGGAGTATACTTTGTCCTCGGCTGCCCTTGTGCAATAAGCAAGGAACCAACTAGGAACATTAAAAAATCCTTGTGTATTTCTGGTCAACTTTTCATCCACTGTGCATTTTAAATGTCTGTGCTCTTAATAAAACAAACTGTTTCCATAGGTACGACAGCATGATAAATATCCATCAATAGTTATATTGTTAAATTCCCTATCACAATTAGAGCAGAAATAAAAATGACAACTCTATTTTAAAGTCATGCATTTGAAGTTAACTTTATGCACCCTGGTCCAATCTGAGTCTACAATCCGTTTCTATTCCACGCACACAATCACAAGAAATAAATTGATGCATCATTATTCATCCAACTTTACTATTTTGTTACCTCCTTGTTCACCTGTTAGTTTAGATACAGACAATGCATGGGCACAGCTAAGCCAATAGGTTGGCCTGTAGAGTTAGATTTTAGCAATGCTGTATAGTGCAAATTAAATTGTTTGAGCAGGTTGGCATTGGCAGCTGTAAAGGGAGATTACTAATGGATTTGTAAATAATAGGATCACCAGGGCTCATTATTGGGACAAACAGGAATGGTAGATTTACAAAAATGCATAGAAGTGTTAAAGTTGAATAATTGTTATAAAACAACTTGCTGAACATTAAATAGTTCAGGAGAATTTTTAATCATTTGGTTTGCATGGCCTGAATTTCTGGCTCCATCTCATCCCCAAAGATTTTCATTCAGCTTTTGGAAATCTTCAGTTTATTTTTAAGTATTTTAACAAAAGATGTCCTCGGTCTTTGATGGATTTATAGAATAAATAAGTGTAAATTGTCCCTCAATTCCATATTATCTTCTATTCAATTTTAGTCAGAGTTGAACAGCATGGAAACAGACCATTTGGTCCAACTCGCCTGCACCGAACAGATACCCCAACCTGACCTAGGCTCATTTACCTGCATTTGGCCCCTATCCCTCTAAACCGTTCCTATTCACACACCCACTCAGATGCCTTTTAAAAATGTTGTAATTGTGCTCGCCTTTGCTACTTCCTCTGCCAGCTCGTTCCATACAAAGACTACCCTCTGTGTGAAAAAGTTATCCCTAGGGTCCTTTTCAAATCTTTCCCCTCTCCGCTTAATTTGCACCCACCCCCACCCCACCCCCAGGAAAAAGACCTTGGATGTTCATCCTATCCATGCTTGTCCATCCTTAAATTGCTCTTAGACTGAATTGTAGCAAGTGAGCTGAAATAGTTGTTTAACCTTAGGATCACACTAGCTTCCATCTTGATGCAAACTACATTATCCCTTGGATAATGGTGTATGTTTATTCTCTTAGACTTCTTTTCAGTTGAATTGTTCAAGCCTCAGGTGATCAAGAATCTGACCAACTATCTACAATGATCCATCAAAAGTTTTTGCCATTTGAGACGACAAATCAAATAGGGTCTCATTAATGACAGTATCAGTATTAGCAGCTGATATTAAATAGTTACCTCTTACAAAGGATATAATAGTGAATCAAAAACACCACTATTTCTCCTATTCCCATTTCCTGTAACAACATGCATTTTATAGCAATTTTGACAAAGGTGGTCCAAGGGACTTCATATAAGCACAGACTAAATGGACAATGAATTGAAGGATGAGACATTGGGAAGGAAGGATCATCAAAAGGCATCAATGTGGATCATGAGGAGGGCCTCGAGGAGGACAGGGAAGAGAAAGTGTGAGTGGCAAAGTTTAGTGAGAGAATTCCCAGAGCATGAAGAATAGTGGGCAAGAATGGAAACAGTGCTTGTGGCAGAGTCAGAGTCAATGACTTCAGCCTTCCCAATTACCAATGGAATGGATCAGAATTTTGTCCTGGACTGCATGCCAGACATGATTAAAAACGAAAAAAATTTTCAAGAGTGTTAGATTGTGTCTGTCTACACGTGGAGTCTGTTACTATATTCTGAATGATGACACCACCATGCATCAAAACGTGTAAGTGAGGAACAGGAAGGATCAAAAGAGATCTTTTGGAAGCTCTAGAGATGATAGTGCATGGTGAAAAAAAATCTATAGTTTTAATTAGATAGATAAGCACAGAATCCACAGGAATATGCCTATTGAGGGCAATAGGGGAGATAATATGGAGAACAATGGCATGTCAACAATTGAAGGCCACAGAAAGGCAGAATAGCAAAACAGGATTATACAGAGATATCCTCTGTGAATTTAATGTGAAGCTGCCATAGAAATTCACTAACTGACCTGCAGTGTGTATGCAGACATGCAACACAGAACCTAGAAATGGGGTCACTGTTTCAAATAAGGAGTTGTACAATTAGGACATATTATGAGAAGTTTTATTCTCAGCGGGTCAATAATCAAAAAGCAGTGGAAACAGAGTCTGAGAATATTAAGGCAGGGGATGGTAGATTCTTGATAAGCAAGGGGGTAAAAAGGCTATCAAGGGTAGGTGGGAACATGGAGCAGTTAGAGCCATGATTGAATGGCAGAGCACACTCAAGAAACCAAGCAGCCAACTTCTGCTCCATGTTCAAAAATTGCTGCAGTATGTCTTGTAGATGATACACACTGTTCTCCCCGGCACAAATCAGGTGAATGTGATGCCACCCACTCGTACTAAATCGTATCAAGTTTAGAATGTTGTTGGACCTGCACTCAGTAAGCAATTACACACTTAACTCATACCTTGAAACTCCAAACACGAGACTAATGTTAAATTGTACCTTCTACTCTTTAAGCAATAAACCAACTTGTCATATGATTTATGACAATCTGCTCCTATGATGCCGCTTGGCCTGCTGTGTTCATCCAGCCCTGCACCTTGTTGTCTCGGATTCTCCAGCATCTGCAGTTCCTACTATCTCTGTCATATGATTTATCCAGGCTCTTGCCTTTCTCCATTTTAAAAAATATATACAGACCCCCAAAATGGTTCATTTCACTGTTCCTCTCTCACTACCAACATAAACATACATTCCTTTAATACTGAGCATATACTGAAAGGAAACTGCAAACTCTTGCTTACAAATCTGATACATGCCCTTTGTTACATACCATCATTGTTGGTGTCCATCTGTCTAAAAATCTTGTCTGTTCGTTTTTCAGGTGTAGATTCATCTTCTGGCATCTTCATCACAGATGATACCATTTTATAAATTGCCTGACATTGAGAAATGGGAGTTGATTTATTTCTTAAACAATACTACAAGGCCTTTACACAAATATTTTAAAAGCAAGCTCAGGGCTAAACATTCAAATGCTGTGCATGGACCATTGTAAATCCAAGATATTACTTTCCATATATTTTAGCATAGAATGGTATGATGTTTCGTCTGGTTTTATGGAGTTTAGAACCAGAGGGCACAATTTAAAAAAAAAGTGGTGAGTGCCACTTAGGTCAGAGATATGGAGAATTTTGTTTTTAACTCAAAGGGGTGTAAATCTTTGGAGTCCCCTACTCCAGAGGGCTGTGGAAGCTCAATCTTTGAGTAAGTTTAAGCTAGACATTGGTAATCAGGTCTATCAATCGTGCACAAGGCTATGGGAATGAGGTAGCCATAAGGCATTGATGTATTAAAAACAATCATGGCTGATTTGAATGGTAGGGCAAGTTCAATAGGCCAAAGGCCTACTCCCGTTCTTATGTTCCTACCAACTCTTCTTTCACCCACTGGAGAACAGAGGCCGACACTGTACTAACAAATAAACATGCCATTTTGCAGAGAATGCAAGCTACAATACTCAGCAAAAATACATTACTGACTTAATTCTAACCCACATAAACATATGGAATGATCATCAACATTGCTTTAAGTTCTTAAATCGTTCTCCTTACTCCCCAGCCAATTGATTCCCTACTAATTAGTTAGCATTTTATCTTCTGCAGTAACAAGCAGGAACTGCATTTAAATGTTATTTTAGTCTGCTTACACAAGTTATTGTAATCTGGACACATTCAAGGTGTAATGTGAGAAATATCATCAAACCATTGAAGCGTTAGATTGCTGAAGTGAAGGTATTAAATTCTTCAGGTTAGTAAGGGGTTCCTAGCATACCAGGTGAGACTGGCTGAAGACCTTTGAAAGTACAATAAATTGCCAAACCAAATTGTTATCTTCCATCTGAACAAATCTCATTAGGTTAAGTGACAACACCAGATTTGGCAATATATTTTGGATTTCTGAAGCAAACTCAATTATTCAGCTTTGGCAATTATAAATTGGTAATTATTTCTGTATGGCGGTTCCTCTGAACAATCAAGTTCTGCTACTTCCAACATAGCAGACAGAATAAAAGTGGTAAACCCTTTGACTTGTCTCAGTCCTGATCTTTTATACTGCCGCAAGTGAAAAGCACAAGGCAAGTTACCACTATATGCAACATTTCATTTTCTCTTTTCTATCATAACCACACATATTCTACGCCCACTCTCATCAAGCTCATTGAAGTCGAATTACCTAAGCTAGCTATTTAACTTTCCCATAAATCACAGACTTGTACTCATCTACTTCAAAATTCATATGAATTCCTGTCACTCCCATTCTCATCACAAACCATCCCATTGACAAGCTTTCCATTCTATCCAAATTGTTGGAATGAGTGAGGAGTCGAAGCTATGGGAACTTGTTTCCCTTCCTCAATACACTCCATGAATATAGTACTGTGGAGTTGAAGAAGAGAGATGACAGGATGAGGAAGTACTGGAGGTAGAGTCAGTCATGCAAGATGTCTAGAAGGGTCTGGGCCCGAAACGTCAGCTTTCCTGCTCCTCTGATGCTGCTTGGCCTGCTGTGTCCATCCAGCTCTACAGCTTGTTATCTCAGATTCTCCAGCATCTGCAGTTCCTACTATACGACTTATGTTCAGCCTTGCACTGGGTCAGAACTTGTTGACATCTTACATGACTGACTCTACCTCCGGTCCTTCCTCATCCTGTCATCTCTCTTCTTCAACTCCACAGTACTCCTCCATGGTACTATATTCATGGCCCCAGTCATACACTCAGGTCCATACCTAATTTCTTATGTGCATGCTCTGGAAACCTCTTCCATTTATTCTCATCATATGCTGTTTAGCTATCAGCTCAAAAACAAAACTCAACAATAGCTAAGGTAAAATCAAATCTCTTCCTCCTGCCTGCACCCTACATACATTTGACCTAAATTTCAACATGTTGACTGCCTTCAAAGTTCAGAGGTATGGATATTGGCATCCTGTCTTTATCTGCACTGAATTTCCACCCACGAGATATATGGCCGAGATTCCTTTCTTTCAGATTACTGCATTATCTAACCCATATCTCTCTGCTCCCAATGTCACAATTTCTCAATGTCTCTCTTGCCTGCCTTCATTCTCTTGAAACTCTTGACTTTTCCAAACTCATTTCTTCCCTCACTCCCGGATTTTTGCATTCCAGGAATTGGCAAATCTGTACGTTTCACTTTCAAATAATCTATAACAGCCATAATTTTACAAAAAAAAACAAATAAAGTATCTTGGTCAGCCAAGCTGCAGCCAAAGACAATGGACCCATCAGTCTGCCCAAGGTGGAACTGGGTGGATTTTGGAATCAGGATTGGAGGAGGAGTGCAGGGAGGCAGAGACAGTCTCTTTGCATTAGGGGAAAAAACGAGAATTAAAAACAAGATTGTACAATTTGAACAGCATTTATCCCATGGCATACCTGTACAATCTCCAGCATTTCACTTCGGCTGATGTACCCATTTCCGTCCAAGTCATACATACTAAAAGCCCATTTCAACTTCTGTTCCAGCTTCCCTCTGGATGTGACACTAAGTGCAATTATAAATTCTCTGAAGTCAATTGTTCCATCGGCATTTGTATCAAAGGTACGGAACACATGCTCTGCAAACTTTGAAGCATCTCCATATGGAAAGAAGTTTGCATAGATTTTCTTGAACTCCTCTACAGTTAAATGTCCACTAGGGCAATCTTTAAGGAAGCCTTTGTACCACTCCTGAAGCTCGTGATCCGTGAATTCTGTATTCTCTCGCAGGTCCTGAAGCACTTCGGGACGCAGTTTACTATTCTGCTTTCCCATCCTCTCGGCTTTGTTTCAAATCTACATAAAACAGGAAACACATTAATGAGTGTTACTGCAGAATAAGCAAACTAATATAGCTTGCAGATAACGACCCTATACTTGTGTTGCAATAGGATTAGGCAAATATAGTGTTCAGCAAACAGGAAAAAATTAGAAAGTCAAAGTATTAGATCCATTTGGTACCTTGTGAAAGGGTTGTGGAATGGGTGTAAGAGGTTAGAAAAAGAAAACAAAAATAAATCCTGTAAAGTAGAACATAAAACCGTCCCCTATAAATACTATTTAATAATCATTAAAATACCCAAAATATTCAGGAGGTTGGCGATATCAACGCAGAGAGAAAGAGTTTACGGCTGCAAAAATCCAGGCTGGTCTGACAGTCAAACTGGTGGCATTCATTGGGGTTAGAACGGAAACCAACAGCAGCTTCTTGCAACCATAAGTAAGTGTGATTAAAAACGCTGAAAATAAAGGGCACTGTCACCAGTTTCCTGCTTCTCCAATGGTCACGTCAATTGTCATTAAATTCTTCAGTTTTAATCGCACATTAAAGAGCCCCAAAACTTTACGTACTGTTGACCAAGTTGTAACAGTTTTTGGGTTCAGCAGGTTTAGTCCAGGACAAACAATTTTATACTTGTGAAATTTCAGATTTCTCCAGTGTGGTAAACTTTTAAAAGTCCTGCAAATTAGCCCAAGATATTTCTGTTTCGCCGTCAGTCCCACGTGTGCATTCTAATTTTTAATTCCGCTCACTATTCTAATCATTCTACAATCGGTTCATTTCGTTTCCTCATTTGCTGCCTGAGAATTATTCTAATGTGCTTGGCCGTTTATCCAGTTGAGTGAGGTCGCTATCAAAGCTGCTGTTGGAATCAAATTAATGAGAGAAGGTGAAATTCATGCAATCAAGATTGCTGAATCTTTGAGGGCAACTTTCTTTGACATCAGGAGTATCTGCTGCCTATTCATTGTTGACTGCAAAATCTGAGTCAACATCTTGGCTTCTGAAGAAAGTCATACCAGACTCTTTCCGAACTGAGGCTGCCAGATCTGCTGAGTTTCTCCAGCATTCTCTGCGTTTGTTTCAGATTTCTAGTGTCTGTAACCTTTTTGCCTTTATTCTTGGCCAGAACTGGAAAATATCATGGAGGTAACCGGTTTTAAAAAGCAAGTGCAGAGATAGTGAAAGAGGCTCTGAGGAAAGCATGGTGGCTCAATGGTTAGCACTGCTTCCTCAGCACCAGGGACCCAGGTCCGATGCCAGCCTCGGGTGACTGTCTGAGAGCAGGTTGCACGTTCTTCTGTGTCGGTGTGGGTTTCCTCTGGTTTCCTCTCAAAGTCCAAAGATGTGCAGGTTAGGTGGATTAGCCATGGGAAATGCACGGTTACAGAAATAGGGTAAGGCGGGGGGGGGGCGGTGGTGGTCTGGGTGGGATGCTGTTCAGAGGGTCGGCATGGACTCGATGGGCCGAATGGCTTGTTTCCACACCAAAGGGATTCTATGAAAGAGAAAGATCAGTGATAGGATGGCAGGCAAGAGAGTGATTAAACTACAAAGGTTATACTATAAAGGCAAAAAGGGGATGATAACAGCACAAATAAAGATACAAGCTGGGTCTAGAGATTGAATAAACAAACGGAACCATTACCAACACCCGCTGTCAAGAAAAAAAGAATGGCAGCAGTGAAATGTTTGCGAAGTATCAAGTTTGGAAGCGTGGCGTGTTCAAATTGAAAAAGAGGAGAAGCTGCCCTTAAACCTCCTGTTGAGTTTGAGTTTAACTGGAATGGAGCAGGCGACCTGACAGTTGAATAATCCATTATCTCAAAAAGAACAACCAGAGCAGTAGGTCCTACGCTACCCGATCAGCCTGCCTGAGGGTATGAAATACATTCCAGCTGACTGACCACTTAAAATTCCAAGCTCTCAAAGACATTCTTTCATTAAGGCAAACATGAATCATCCAATATGAGACACGTGGTTAGGAATTTCTGATGGACAGGAATCCAGAGCAACTTTGTCTGCACACAGTTACTACTTATAAACTGGGAAAATGACACAGACTTATTTTAAATGGAAATTCAAATGAATGAAACTCTAGCAAATGAAAAACATCACTGTCAATCATATTTATTTATCAATAGCTCTTAGTATTGATGGACTGAATAATAAAATTTGGTCCGTCCCTGCCTTGCAACGGAAGTTAAAGCCATAATTAAAAGTAGGAAATTTAATACAACAGAATGTGACAACTCGAGTTTGTGGCTATGCATAAAGTATCCTGCTTATGGCACCCACACTTTCAAAATTGCACAGATTACAGTTTCTTCAGTCATTCATCTTGAAGGGTAGAGCGAAGCTGCATTAACCATCTCCCAAAGGAAAATAATAAGTGTTGAAAATTGGGAAGGCTGGTGATTAAAATCGCACATACATATTTAGGCAGCAATATATTATCTAAGCCCATGAAAGATCACGTGCGGTTTCGGGCACTGCACCAAAACACTGGCCTTGTCAGAAATGCATTGCAAAATACCACCAGAGCTCCAAGGATTAGATTATGGAGGAGAGTTTATGTAAACTTGTCATTCCCTTCCCAATTTTGCAAGGAACTGATCAGGTAGGTGGGAGAAACAAATAAACATTCTCCCCAGTGGGACACAATGAGACAGAACAGAGACACGTTGTTCAGAAAATAAGTTAGAATAAAAAACACCTTCAGCAAAGGGTGGCAGAAGAATGAACTCTCTCCCAAACAGAATACCAGTTCAATTCATTAGACCAATAGATTTTTGCTATTAAAGCAAATGTGCTGATCCCACTGACAGGCAAGTCACACTGTAGGAGTGGAATGGCCGGTCCTAGTCAGAGTGTCTGGCATAGGAGTCCTACCTTATGATTACACACATCCAGTGCATTTTTGGGTGGATGGTTGTGCAGAATTCATGGCTCAAAACATGCCCATGCAGATATTTTCCATCTCCATGTGGAGAACATGTAAAACAGATTGGATGACACCTTACAGGTGCTTCAACTACATCTCCTAAAGATGTGAGAAACCTTACACTGTCATTAGATAGCAGGCAAATATTCCCCACAGTTTAAGAACAAACATACTAAATGTAGAAATAAATTCAGAACATTGAATAAGCCACAATACTTTGTGCAGCTTTAAAAAGGTCACCCCTTCTAGAAAAAGGATTAAAGTCAGTGTACACAGTAGATTCACCATTAATGCACTAGGTACCTAAATAACTCTTAGCACCTTCACAGGTGAAGGCTGAATTAAAAACAATATTCACAATTGTCATGTTTAATAAAACAAATCAGTAGTGTCAGGTGAATGTCTAACACTGTGCCATGCTATTTGCAGTCACTGTGTCAAAGAGATGGCTTTAATAAAAGCTGAATGAACTGCAGATGCTGTAAATCAGAGACAAAAATAGAAATGGCTGGAAAAGCTCAGCAGATCTGGCAGCGTTAACATTTCGGGTGGAGGGTCACTTAACCTAAAACCTTAACTCTGATTTCTCTCCACAGATGCTGCCAGACCTGCTGGGTTTTTCCAGCTATTTCTATTTTTATTTGCTTGTAAGAGAAAGCTTTGTTTATTGGAAGTGGAAGCTGCCTTTTCAATTAGCAATGCAAGAGTTTGACAGCCAGAAAACTGCACAAGGCATTTTATGTACTCCAGCTTGGGCACTTCAAGGTGGGCAATAGCAGCTGGTCTTGCACACACTGCACAAGATAAAAAATATATTTATTCAATAACCGAAATTCAAATTATGTTCATCCCCATTCCCCGAGGGCTCAGATTTGAAAGTGAAAGGTTTATATAATTTTGACATCTTATACAATTCTACTGGCAAAGCTTACTTAACACAACAGAATTCTCCACCCCTCCCCCCTCCCAATAGTTTTGTAACATCAACTACCATATGCTCCAAAAACCGGTCAAGGTACCATAACTGCACAACTGTGAAACCAACCACAAGATACTACACAAGCCACCACACTTCACTCTTGTACAAGATGGCCAAACATTGACTGAAAATCTCTGACTACAAATCTCTTCTGATATTCTTGAACAACCAATTCCCACTACACCCACCACACCCCTCACCTCTTAACTCAGCTCTAGAAAAATCTTAAATTTTCTGGTGACCAGTCATTTTTCCACAAGGATCAAATTCTAATGAATAACACTATGGTGATATCTTCACAAATCTATGTATTAAATACATCAGGCAAACAAAGAGAAAAACAAGAATAGACAAGCTGGGATGCAAGTTTTTGATTTTATTATAAAAAAAAGGAGAATGTGAGGAGGAAAGAAAATAGAGTATAAGGCTGTAAAGTAACCGAGACAGCGATCTTGTTGAAACAACATTCAAATGCCACCATAAAAATCAGGACAAGTCTATCATAAGAGGTTTGAAGATAGCGTGAATGTACAAGAAATATGTAATTGTAAATGAGAGATACACTTTCCCCCACTTGAAGGTCAAAGATAGCTGGGAACAATCACCATTTGTAAGCTCCCTCCAAGCTACTCATTTAGAAATAAATCACTTCACTGTCACTAGGACAAAAATTTTGGAATCCCCTCCCCAATGGTTCTGTGGGTCTACCTACAGCAAACGGACTGCAGCGGTTCAAGAAGGCAGCTCATCACCACCTTCGAGGGCAACCAGGAATGGGCAATAAATGCTAATTTAAAAACAGATAATTATTAAATAATTATTACTTGATCAAAGTTGAATAAACCAGTTGTGTGCCAAATGCAGACACCCGTCGCAACTTTACTAAAATTGAGTAATTTAATCCTCTATCCTAGTTCAAATCCCTTGCACCCAAGTCTATTGTGGACAGTTAGACTATGGCAAAATAAAAGACCCTTACACAACCATGATGGTAGTAAATATAACACTGACTGTACAAGGTCTACAACACGTTAAATGAGTAATACACAAAAATAATTTTGGTGTTTTCTTTTTTGCATTTGCAAACTTGT